GGAGGAATCAAGAAATTCAGATCTGCTGCATACTCCAACGTAAGTTTATTTGTGGATGATATATTAGTGCTTGCTTCTAATACTTAACCATGTTTCATGCTAATTTCATGGTTTTTTTTCCCTTCCATGTGCAGTGCGCTCGCAAACCATCCTGACATTCCTTAAATTGGTTTCCCGATCACGTCATTTGACGTGCTGTTTATTAGCTAGCTATTATTTCCTTAGTTTTAATCCCTTGTCTCCCTTTTCTTCTCCAATCGACCCCTTTCTCATTTGCTTTCTCTTTTGCGGTCATTATTCTGTCCTGTCGACATGGCATTGTCAGTCTCTGCAATCGGATTCGAGGGTTTTGAAAAGAGACTCGATATTTCATTTTTTGAGCCCAGCTTATTTGCTGATCCTGAAGGTAAGGGCCTTCGCTCGCTTTCCAAAGATCAATTGGATGAGATTCTTAAACCTGCTGAGTGCACCATAGTTTCATCGCTGTCAAATGACCATGTCGACTCTTACGTCCTCTCTGAATCAAGCCTCTTTGTTTACCCTTACAAAATTATTATCAAGACTTGTGGGACCACAAAGTTGCTTCAGTCCATCGCTCCTATCCTGAAGTTGGCTGGTACTCTTTCCCTCCCTGTGCGATCTGTGAGGTACACCCGCGGGAGCTTCATTTTTCCTGCTGCTCAGTCGTACCCTCATCGCAGTTTCTCAGAAGAAGTTGCTGTCCTTGATAGTTATTTTGGAAAGCTTGGTATAGCTGGCAATGCTTACGTGATGGGCGGCTTTGACGAACAGCAGAAATGGCATGTCTACTTTGCTTCTGCTGAATCTGTGTGCAACGTCAACCCTGTGTACACGCTGGAGATGTGCATGACTGGTTTGGACAGGGAGATGTCCTCTGTCTTCTACAAAACCCAATCGGGCTCCGCTGCTGTTATGACCCATACCTCTGGAATAAGAAAGATCCTTCCAGATTCTGAGATTTGCGATTTCGACTTCGATCCTTGCGGTTATTCCATGAACGCTATTGAAGGGGCTGCGATTTCGACCATTCATGTTACACCGGAGGAGGGTTTCAGCTACGCAAGCTTTGAGTCAGTTGGGTATGATCCGAAAGTTGTGAAGCTGGGACCCCTGGTGGAAAGGGTGCTGCTGTGTTTCCAACCCAATGAATTCTCGATTGCTGTGCATGCGGATGTTGATTTTGAGTTACTCGAGAAGACATGCTCAGTAGATGTGAAAGGTTACAGCCTTGGTGAGAGGAGTTGTGAGGAGCTTGGAGCAGGCAATTCAGTTTTGTACCAGAAGTTTGTGAAGGCCGTAGGCTGTGGATCTCCTAGGTCAACTCTGAAATGCTGCTGGAAAGAGGAAGATGGAGAAGAATCGGAGTAGTTCAAGGGATATTTCATTTCGTTATTTCATATCTTGTTTTAGATATGAACTGTGTCCGTTTAGGTGTCATCATTATTGTTCTCATGCTCAAATAAGTTGGATTGTGTAACCAACATTGTGTGTGTTTTTGCTTTGTTAATCTGTGATTTGAGTCAGCCGTTTTGGCGTTATATACTGGAAACTTAATATTATGATTATTCTTGCTTAGTACAGTGTCTGTGATTGATTTTTACCTCATGTCCTGATGTCCCTATTATCGAGTATTAATGTTTGGGACGCTTAACAGGTTCATGTTTTGTATCCTGAAGCTCTGAGAATTTCTCTGCATCTGTGTTTCTGTAGTTTGTACATTTTGAAGAACCTTGAAATATCAAAATTTTCCATTTTCTTCCCCATCTCAGTTCTCACACTGCAGTGGGATATACACCCGTTACACAAGAGACTTGCACCCGTTGCATAGGAGACTTTCACGCCAAGTAGTGTTTGGCGGCTGGCCGCAGTTGCAAAGGGTGTTGCGCATTGTGGGTATTGATGATCTATCCGTTCTTGACTCCAGCAATGTTTGAATTACCAAGCTATTTCCATGTGTTTAGTAGAGCTTGTGGGTTTGGATAGACTTCCAAGATATCTGCGCGTGTAAAAATTCGCCTTGCTTGTGGAGCGGCAGGTCTAGCACAAATATTGGATTTATTATGCACACATTTTACTGTAGTTTATATTAGGTTGTCGACGCAAGCACGACGATGCGGCGCAGCAAAGGACGGACCGAGGGCGGATGAACCCGGGGATTGTCTACTCAAGTTTCATGTTTTCATTATGGTTATTTATGTTTTGTTTTTGGAAGATTATACTCAAGTTTCATGTTTTCTTTATGGTTATAAATTTTGTTTTTGGAAGATTAAAATTATGTAGGTTTGTCCATCCGACATTTTTTATTATCCTTTCTTTTCAATTAGTACTTTTTTTTTTTTTGATAATCAAAAGGGTAGAGGAGGGGGCGACCGGCGTAGCAACCCCCCTTGGGCGTGACCGGGCTCCCAACCCTTTTTCTTTTTTTTCAATTAGTACTTGCTATTAAAGAAGTTGTTAAAGTATCCACAATGCTATAATTAAAAATAAAGGTTTTTAAAGTAAATGTTGGTACAAAATATGGCTCACATTGGTATAATCAAACTTAACAACCTCCTTAAAATAATCAATTTTAGGCTTTGGATAATAAAAACTAACAACCTTTTAACAATAACCAAATTTAATAGACCCTATATATTATCAATCAAATACACTAACCAGTAACCATTGCACAAAAATGTTCTATCTCTCTTCCCTTTTCCTCTCTCTTTCTTTTTGAAGAACAATATTTTTGAAAAAAATATTTTACTAAAAAATTGTTTTTCCAAAAAAAAAGTTTCAAAAACTATTTCTATTTCTAGTAAATAGTTTTTATTAGTTTCAAAACTATTTTTAGAAAAATTATTTTCTACTATTCACAATTTTTATTTTTTGTAGTTTGAAAAGATCATGTGACAAGTTTTGGTTATCCAATTTTGATTATGCCATTATAGACATCTACATTATTAGTCTTAGCAATCTCTTAAATGAAAATCAAAATCTATAATGTGCCAACTTTTAGTTATCTATTTTTGATTGGGAAATTTATAGAAATGGTCCTTCTAGTTTCATCCGAGTCTCATTTTCGCCCTCCAAGTACCAATTGCGTTAGTTTTAGCCCTATAGTTTATATTTTGCCTCAATTTCGTCCCTCTTGCTTACGGTGTCAATGAAGCAAACGGAATTGAAGGGCAAAATTGTCATTTCTCCTCATAGAGAGACTAAATTGAGACTTCATACAAACTAGAGGGACTATTTCTAAAAATATTCTTTTTACTTTTGTTTTTGCAAATATAATTAAAAGACACCATACATAATATATTTTTCATCTCAATTTTTTTAATCAAAATATGTTGAAAACATTAATGATGTTCCATACTTATTATTCCATACTTAATGATATGGAATATAAAAACGCAAGAGGAAACAATTTGCAAAAATTTTCAACATATAATAGGAGTACTTAATATTCCATATCACAACATTTTTTGGAATATATAAACAATTTTAAAGCTTTTACTTTTATTATAGTATTCCATATCACAAAAATTTTTAATAATATTCCATATCATTAAGTATGGAAATATAATGTTTTTATTATATTCCACATCACAAAAATTTTTGTTTTTATCATTTAGTATGGAATTGAAAATCATTATATTCCATAATTAATATTCCATATCATTAGTATGGTGTTTTTTCTTTTCTTTTTTTCACCCAATAAAAAATAATGTTTAAAATCATTTAGTTAATCTTGTAATCATTGATTAAGAAGTGGATCACTATTGAATAATAAATAAGCGAGTAAACTTTTGACTTGGGGGTGATATTTTAAGCCAACTCACAGCTTTGATATTGCTAACTTATATTGATCTGAAGATGTTATTTTCGTATTTCATTATGTAGCTATATGTCGTTAAATTATTTGAAGACTAAAATAAACTGATTATGTAGCTATTAATTAATATTCAATTTGTATTTATTTGTTATATAAGTGGTCCTATGAGTAAGTCCCAAAAAAATACACTATACCCATGTTTTAATGCAATAGTATTTCAATGGTTAATTAAACAAAAATACAAGACACCTAAATACTATTGAAGATTTTTCTTTTTAATCGTGTAACAAAGAACATAACGAGATTGAAAATCCAATTGAAAAAAATACGATACATAGACATTTAACACAGGGGTTACTTTTCGAATTTTCTCATGTTTTTGTGATATGAAATATAATAAAAGCTTTAAAATTTTCAACATTTTTTGATTAAAAAAACTGAGATGAAAAATATATTATATATGGTGTCTTTCAATTATATTTGCAAAAACAAAAGTAAAAAGAATATTTTTAGAAATAGTCCCTCTAGTTTGTATGAAGTCTCAATTTAGTCTCTCTGTGAGGAGAAATGACAATTTTGCTCTTCAATTCCGTTTGTTTCATTGACACCGTAAGCAAGAGGGACGAAATTGAGGCAAAATATAAACTATAGGGCTAAAACTAACGCAATTGGTACTAAATGGACGAAAATGAGAATTCATGCAAAGTAAAGGAACCATTTGTAAAATTTTCTCTTATTGATTATAACATTGTGAATACTCTTATATTGCGATTATGTAAGCTTAATTTAGGAAAATACGTTTACTTCCTTGTGATTTTCCTTCTAACCAAACCCTATAGGGGAAACTATTTAGAATTTTCCTCTTATAGTTTCACCGTAACCGAACACATCCAAAAGAAAAGAAAATTTTCTTTTCTTTCACTTTAGTTTCTATCATTTTCATTTTTTTAATTTCTTTTTCTTCCTAATCAAACGGATTTTTCTCCTCCGAAGTTCATTCTCTCTTTCCTCTCTGAAGTTCATTCTCTCTTTCCTCTCTGAACTTCCTTTTCCCTTTAAGGAAAGTGGAACACAGCTGGTTTCTACTTTCTACCATAATGTCCAAGTAATCCTTTAAATTTTTTAAATGGCTATATGGTAAAAAAATAAACACTATTAGCAATAAGTTGCTGTAGTTTAGTGGTCAGAATTCTACGTTGTGGCCGTGGGGACCTGGGCTCGAATCCAGCAGCCACGTTGATATATTTTTTCATGTAAAATATTTTACATCAAACGGAGCCTTACCCGTTCTCTTGAACTTAACTTAAATTTAGAAATTTTGTTTTTATTTGAATTTTTTCGCATTTGTTAGTTTTGTGTTAAACTTTTGTGGGTTATTGATTTGTCTCGGCAAGAGGAATTACAAAAGTAAATTTTTTTTTAATTACTTGTACCCAAATATTTTGAGAAACAATCATTTTTTAGCAAAAACTGCAAAAAAAAAAAGCAAAAAAAAAAAAAGAAGAAGAAGAAGACACTTTGACGCTAAAAAGTGGTTATTTCTCAAAATACTTGGATAAAAGTAAAAAAAATTTACTTTTCCGATTTCTCTCCTCGAGACGAATTAATAACCCACAAAAGTTTGCCACAAAACTAACATATGCGAAAAAATTTCAAATAAAGACAAAATTTTCAGATTTAAGTTAAGTTCAAAAAAACGCAGCCTTAAAAAACTTTGCATCAAACCATGGCACAAAAGAGCCTATAAAATGTTTTTTCAGAAAACGAACTTTACTTTATTTTCCGGTGTTTTGGTTGGCACATGAAAAATATTTTCCAAAACAATGGTAGATTGTAGGCTATGAAATATTTTAATCAAGTAAGTGCACTCTCTCTCTCTCTCTCTCTCTCTCTCTCTCTCTCTCTCTCTCTCTCTCGTTTTGGATCTGATATGATTTGGGAGAAGAAAGAAATGAAATACACGGTTTTGGAAAAATGTCGGACCATCGGGAGTGAAATCTAAAAATGATTTACGGCCAAAATTAGAGGAAAACATTTTCACCCCGTTGGTATAAAATGTTTTATCTTGAAAATATTCCCCCCCTCTTTTTCTAGCCAAATAACAGAAAATAGGAAAATAACAAAAAATGGATAAAATATTTTATCTATAAATATTTTACGTCCAAACAAACGGAACCTAAACGACAAATTTTATGTCTCTAGTTATCGAGTAGTGAGCTTTCTTAATGTTGTAAACCCAAATGGCACCACTTCGATCATTCGTCTGTGGGGAATTTGTATTCCTACTTCTCGGAGGGATAATTCTCCCTTAAATAAGGCATTTACCAAATTAGCGGCGCATAAACTATGTTTGGCACCTCAAGAGGTTGACCGAGTTATTTTGGCCTGAGACTCAAGAGTTTGTTCCATCTTAAGGTCTCAGTTTCGGTTCTTTTTGCTAATAACTTTTGGGCTTCCTCACCCCACGTGTAAATGTGCGAAGCGGCTGTAAGAGGGGCTATAGTAACTAGTCTGAGATGTGTGCAAATTGGCCCGAGACCCCTGAATTACCAAAAAAAATAAAATAAATTATGTTTGTCAACCAAGTTTGTTGTCGGTGATCGTAACATAATTTGTTAGTGGGAAGCAAGAATCACTTTAAGGAAAAAAAAAAGGGTGAGTTAGTTAACTAACCAAAGAAAGATAGAACTAGATGCATCTTCATAGAAAACTTTGGACTTGAATAATTTCCATGCATCCCTTATTCAAGGGAATTAGAGACAGTGTCAGCTCATATATTTCAGAGGTCCGAAGCGAATTCTCTATATTGAGCCTCTTGCATATTCATGAATTTCTTAAAAAAAATGATAAAAGTACAAAAAAATCAAACTAAAAGGATACAATTATGACAATATAAATGTAAAAAGATATGATTGCAAATTATATTGCAATTATGGAGGTACATGGGAGTCGAACCACGCACTTCGAATAGCATAACAGCATTATGTGATCACTGAACCAAGTATCAAATTTTTATGTTTATATTTGAAAACATTCTAATGTTAATATGTAAGTTACGTTATAATAGAGCTCAATTTTGGACCAAAATTCGAGAGTCAAAAGTAGTTGCTTCTCTCGCCTCCCCTATAAACCGGCCCTGATTAGAGATGGGGGGTAACGAGTCAAACCGTAGTACCAAATACACGACAGCAAGAACAAAAGTTCATTCTTTTTCATTTCGATTCTCAAAACAATCTGCTGCGTCTTTTAACTTCGGTGGAGGTGGTTGAACCAAAGAGTTGGCTTAGTGGTTAAGGCCTGAGATTTAGGATTTTGCTCATTTCTAAGATGTCAAGCTTCGAAACCTCTTAGGTGTTATCAACTCCTTTGTGGGCAATTCATACGAAGCTTTGCTTTGTTTTAATTGGGACCCCAGCAAGTGGGACGGTGAGATTGGTCCTTCGGGATGAATCGACGTGCGCGTAAGCAAGTCTGAACACCATGAATTGTAAAAATGCTGCCCTATCCATTCACACTTAGTGTTTGGCTTTTCAAAATGTTTGATATGATGAGTTGTCAAACCCCCAACCCGCTCCCCCGCCCCCCTCGCCCCTTACAGGCTTTGCTCAGTCCTGCTATGGTTAAAGGCAAATGAGTCCAGAGAGAAATTGGGAGAACACACAACAATATGACTGTATTGTGGAGTTTGGAGCCTGGTACTAATGTAGAACAATCCATGCGTATTGGGTACCTAAGGGTATTTTGGTATTTCACACAAGTCTGTGTCCGACGTAAATATTGTAGCGATAGGGGAAAAAACGCTCCGTTATATTATATTGTTGTTGATTGCTCTGAAAACAGTTACATAAATTGTAGATGCATGTCATCAACATCAGATGGACTATCTCAATGTAATTTTTTCTGCACTCTCATCCGCAGATTGCGTGTCAGGGCAATACATGAAAAACTTCAATTTTGAGTTTGAAGTAATATATAGTATCTACATACTTCACTCGAACACAAGGGAATGTCAATTTAAAGCTAAGTTTACAAAGATATTAGCAAGTGGTCCTGATGCATATATTGCTCCTCTCTCTTAATACTGTGCGGGATTCACACATTTGGAGATGGAGCTCAAGCACTTTTAGCGAGGGAGGAGCAACGCTCCTAGACAACTAAACACTTTTCATTTGGAGAGAGAGGGTCATGATGCAGATATATTTGATTACTAATGCTTCTCATATTCAAGAGATCTGATCAAAATGACCCACAAAATTCTTTCTCACAATACTTACCATAACACAAGGCCTCCTTTCTATGAGCATTTCGAACCAAGAAAACTTGGGCCTAGAAGTTTCACAAAAAGGCATTATAGTGGTGGGGAATATGAATCAAAATATAAAACACATAATGGAGGAATTTTCTCTATATTCGTTGTCAAGGGCAAATAAGTCATTGTGATGCGTATTTGTCAAAATGTGGCAATATATATATATATATATGGGAATGGTTCAATGAACACCCTAATAAAACACCCAACGGGGACACCCAAAATCTCAATCTGATAGTTCCCGATTGAATTTTTATGATCCGAACCGCTCAATGTGTGCAGAATGTGATTTTAAGGGTGTTCGCGAGAAATTAGCAAAAAAAATGACCGGAAAAGGCTTGATTTGAGCAGTTTTTATTTGAACCGTTCAATAAATAATTGTTCAAAACTGTTCAGATCAAGCCCTTCCCGGTCATTTTTTTTGCTGATTTTTAACGTGTACCCTTAAAATCACATTCTGATCACATTGAGCGGCTCGGATCATCAAAATTTGATCGGGAACCATGGGGTGTTTTTTTAGGTGTCCCCGGAACCGCCCCTATATATATATATATATATATATAGGCAGCATGTTGGACATCTTGTTTTGTCATTCTAAAATCTAAAATATACATATATGGATGCCAGTCATGTAAAATCACATCAATAAATTAAAGTGTTCAACTTTCATTCAATAATTAACCTAACTTGGTTTGTCTTTTTTTGTTTCTTTACTTTTCACTTTTATTTTCACAAGTGATCCTTTTTTCCCGCCTAAAGTTGATTTGCCCATTCTCTTTTGCTAATGCTTCTAAAGATGTTACATCAAGGACAAAGTCCACTTTTACCCTTTGTACTTTGGATCATGTGTGGATACCTTCTATGGTTTAAAAATGTGCATATAACACTCCTGTGATTTGTGAAGTGTGCACACAATGCTCAACTCTGTTCATAATAATGTCAAGTGTGATACACGCGCATTAAAAGTCCGATATGCATGCCCTTATCTTTTTCCTTGATTCTTCTTCTTCTTCCTCCTTGAATCTAACCAATTCATCACCGTACTAAAAATTGGATCTAAACCGTTGATAGGTAAAGTTTGATAAGTACTACATCTATACCAAAATTCAAGTTCATTTTCATAAGAATTAGATCACTGAGTTATTGATGTCTGATTGAGTTGATCCTTTTTTTAATAGAGATGCTCTGTTCTATGATTGATACATTATGAATGGCTTGGATTAGATTTTGGTTGGATTTTAGAGACGTGTAAGATACACCTCTATTAAATAGATGGAATTAGGTGTTATGTGCACACTTCACAAACCACAGGGTGTTATGTGCATACTTTTATACTATAGGGGGAGTATATCCGCATATGACCCAAACCACAGGGGGTTAAAGTGAACTTTGCCATTAAATCAAAGTACTAATAGAGATTTTTTTTGGTTTAATCTACATGATGGTGGAGTGGCATAGCCAGGAATTGACAATAGTGGGGGCACCTTTTAAACACACTTCAACAAAAAAAAAAAAAATCGTACTATTAATTATAAGTAATGCCAAAATAATGAAAGAACGCTTGTTCTAAAAATAATAGAAAAAGCTAATGCATTTACTAAGAAATATAGTAATTCCATAAAATCAAAACAAATCAATTGTTTGAATTGTCCCACCGGATCAAGTCTAAGAGCAGTTAGATACACAATAACTAAAATGTCAATATTCAACAATCTTGATCCAATTAGAAAAAAAGTACGCTTGTCTTTACAAATTTTGTCCTTAAACCTGTAACTTCATCTTGATATTGTGGGTTCTATCAACAAATACAACACTACTTTCAGAATTGTAAATAATCAATAAAGTATAATGAATATAACTCATGAATTAGCCACTTATGAATTTGGATATTATTCATTGGAGAGTTTCAAATGGTAAGTGTTGGCTA